TTCCCCTTCCAACGCATCAATCTTCTTTGTTGTCATTCATAGATGTTGCAGGATTAACGAAGAGCATTGCGATTTTGGTCCAGGACACCTCTCTGACACCAATTTGATGTACCTTGGTATCAAAAACAGCAACAAACATCAAGAGCTCAATTTAAAATTGCGCAATAAGAGGTGTGCCTCTGCGCAATTTGACCCAAAAACGCCTCGAGGCTTACGCAATTCCTCTCCTGACAGAGGCGTACGCCTCACCTGATCTAAGGCGCGCCTTAGAAGCGCAATTCTGGCAGAGGCGTACGCCTCACAGAAACGGCCCCACCTACTTAAAATGAATCCTCTTCTTCCCTTCATCCCGCACGGGTTCCAGGTTTTCCACAATTTTCACTTCCAGCTTCCCTGTTCGCAAAACAGACAGCCTCCTACACCGTCGGCCTCCCTTCCCACCGCCTCTCCCACCGGCGCCGCCTCTCTCCGGCGAACTTGAAGTGTCCAGCCGCCCTCTAGGAGTACTCCACAATCGATTTTAGTTTTTTTTTTTAGTTTAAGGTTAGATTTTTCAAGTGAAAGAAAATCTAGGGTTTTTTATTTTTTGATTTTTTTGTATTTTTGGATTTTTGCATTAGGAAACATGGTTAGAGGCAAAGAAAAGGCGAATACGTTATTGCGACGTGACCCTTATTGGAAATATTGTGTGCAAGTTGACGTAGGAGGCGGAGAGAAGACGTATGTTTATTTAAAATACAAATTTTCTGAGAAAGTGGTGAAGGGCGGAGTAACCCGCATGAATGAAAACTTATCATGCTCTCATAAGAACGTAGCACCGTGTGCAAAAGTGCCGAACAATGTGAATGATGAAATAATTACTTACATGAAGAAAACTACCACGGCAAAACACTTACAACAGGAGCAATTTGATGAAATGGTCGAACATGGTGCTTACTTTGGGAGTGAGAGTGGAAATGGCTCTTCCTCCACTATACATAATAGAGGTGCACGGGGTCATATGGATTAGTATATGACTAATCCAGGAGAGGATAGAAGACTTTGGGAGTTTTGTTAAACTAATATTTTGTGATTTGTACTTTGGGACATGATTTTATTGTATCTATTTTCTTACTTTCCACTATTTTCATATATTATTTAGATGTTTTTATTATATGATAGAATCTAGCTATTATTTACCTGCTAAAACCCTTAAATTCTCATTTACGCAATTCTGCGTCCGTGAGGCTTAAGCCTCACACCGCCTCGAGGATACCGCCTCGCCTCACGGATGAAAACCGCCTCGATGCTTAATTACGCAATTTTAAACCTTGATCAAGAGATTCAACACAAAAATATATTTTTAAAGATAGAAAATCAAATACGAATAAAGCAAGATACAATGGTCCTCTTTCGAGAGGACATTCTCTCCCAAACCTAGATGCCGCTAGGATCCCTTACAAAAAAAACTACAACACTCTAAATCAAATTCTGCATACAAACATAATATAAATCCTAAATAATAGCAAACAATAAAAACAACAAATTTTAAAATAGCCCTCCCCCAATTCCCTCTCAAATCAACCACTAAATTAGCCCCCAAATTAGTCCTCTCCAATTAGAAAATATCTCCTAATTATTCTCCTCCAATTCAGCCCCAAAATCTACCCTTTTTAATTAAAAAATATCTCCTAATTAATCTCCTTCAAATCTTCCCTGTTTAATTATAAAACATCTCCTAATTAATCCATTTCTTAATTCTACTTCTCACATATGTAATAATAGGTTTAATGGGCCCAAAAGAGGGGCCGAATCACCCTCTCCCGTATCATTTTATTGCTCTAATTTTAAAGTAATCTATAACGTTGGGTCATATGATCATGTATTATAAAAAAAATGACTAGTGTATCGGGTTTTCTCACAATGCCTATAGGTAAGAGAGCATAAATAGTGAGTTTTGCAACCTCCTTCTGAAGACAAGGTGGTTTGATTGGTTTATCTTACAACTTCTCCCTATAAACAAGGCAGGCCAACTGATAGGTCTTCAGACCTCGCCGCATAGAAAAGACAACCTAAATAGTAGGTCTTGTAACCTCATCATATAACAAAATTGGACCAATTTGTCAATCTTACGACCTTGCCTTATGTCTTATTGACAAAGCAACATGAATAGTAGGTCTCACAAACTTGCCACAAAGATAAGACAACCCGATTGATTAAATTATTTGATTTTGTTTTATGTATAGGTATTTTAAAGTACAAATTGAGGCAATGACTCAACAAAACCTTTGGATCAATTGGGATATAACAAGATTGAGCTGGAATCACTGGCCTATCTCCCTAATCAACATAGTACATATTGAATTTATTAGAGTTAGGACCATTGGGGTATTATATTAATTTGATTACTAAAAGGCCTTTCGGTGATTTTTTATTCTCAAGATGACTTGATAATGTTCTTAGGTTACCGAAGTTCTCCCGCAAACCTTGGTTGAATTTCAAGCCATTTGGAATCTATGGTACTATTGACCCATATACTAAAAACAAAAAAAGAGCGAAATTGGTAACACAAGCGACGGTCGGAGGGCTCGACACATCATTTAAATTGCAAAACAACTTTTGATCGTCAAACAAATTGTGTTGTTGTGATCGGAGTGTTGAATTTACCTATGAGGGAGCCCATTGCAGTCAAGTCAAGCAAAAAATATCAAACTCGATGACCGATACCCAAAAACGACGTGCAGCGCTGCTCAAACAATATTTGATTGCACAACGAACTTCACCGTTGCGTTTGGAACGTCTGAGTCATCTAAAAATGATTGTGATTTCGTCGAATGGAGTTCGCGCAAAAAAAAAGGTGTGGATCCCAGGATAAAGATGCATGCAAAACGAGACAAAATTATTTTTTAATTTCTCATTCCTATTATTTTATAATAATAATTATAATATATTATTATTATTATTATTATTAATGACATAATTAAAACTAAAATAAAAAAGCACAGTACACATTCCACTTCGTTCATGCCAGACCCACACGTCTCCCCAAACCCTCTACCGACTCCTCCCTAGGAATATACTCTAGGGGAGGCATTCTCTCTTCCCTTTCACCTTATCAGATTAGGATTTTCCTCACTTACTTAACGGTTTGTGACTTCCCTAGCCTCTGACGACGCCGTTTGGTTTGGCACTCAAGCAGCTTCTTCAACATCCCTTCCAAGTTGAAAAATTTTCCATCAATCTTCTCATGTATGGCTGAAATTTGACTTATGAAATCTGAAAATTGAGTTTGGAGATCCGAAATTTCATATTTCAATTGTATGATCACCACCTCCAACACTTCTACCTTTCTTCTTTCCATGGGTACCTAGATCTAGGCTCCAAATAGCAAAAAAGGACAAAAAACAACTGATCTGGTCTTCAAACACAAAAATTATCAAAACGGAGAGGCAAAACATAGCATAAATCAGCAAGGAGTCCTATTTTCCGTCAAGGACAAAGTTCTGATATCAATTTGATAGGAAGTGCTTATAGAAATCCACTATTCCTTGGATGAAATTTAATTTAATAGCCCCAAACACAATCCCCAAAAATAATTAAGAGGAATGACTAGAGAAAAATCTTTTTTAATTGATGATAAAAGGAAGAAAACAAAGTAACAAACAAGATACAATGTATCTTCAATTGGAGAGAAAGATCCTACTCTCTCAAATCCTTAGCAACCGACTAGAGCCCAAACACCCTGAAAACAATCTAATTTCAACAAATAGCATATAATCCTAACCCTAGGAAAACAAACCTAATTAAAGCAAACAATAATGATGTAAATCCCAAAACAGCCCCTCTTTTGAATTTTCCCTCTTAACCAAGCCTTAATTTCCTTCTTCAAATGACTGTTACACCCCACCCCAGAGGTGGGGGAGTTTGAGGCGGAATAGGTCCGACTCCTGTAAACAAAGGTCGGTCCCTCTTGGACCGGCTGGATTAGTCTAACAGAATTATCACTACCAATAGTAGTCATATTTGACTGTGAATATGAGTTTCTAGTTAGATTAAAGATTTTGACCAGAAGACATTAATTTCTTTTGCACTAATTCATAGTATTCATTACATTAGATGTATTAGGTAAGCCTAACCCTGAGTTTTCCCACATCATCAAATTTAGTGAGGATGATATAAATACTTCAGATAAACTATAAAACTAAATCACATATTTATACTCAGAGTTCAAGGCTTTTAAGTAGTTGTAGCCTATAAAATCCTCTAGATTGAATTTCAACAACAACAACAACATCATCATCAAGCCTTTGTCCCATTACGTGGGGTCGGCTACATGAATCCTTTTTCTTCATTGTGACCTATTAAAGGTCAAATTCTAGTTTAAATCTAATAAAGAAAGATCATTCATAATATTTTCTAACAAAGTCTTTTTAGGTCTACCTCTACCTTTCTTAACATAAGTCCATTTTAATATCTCTACTTTCCTAACTGGGTCATCAGAAGGCCGCCATTTTATGTGACCAAACTATGTAAGAAGACTCTCTCTATCTTTCTTAACATAAGTCAAATCTAATACCTCTAAATTTAATTTCAAAAAAAAAAAAAAAAAATCAAATATCTGCAGCTGGAATGAATCAACAACAGGGTACATAAATCATTTTTTCCATCAAGCCTACATTAGGCTAAAAAACAACCAACTAACTACAAGTTTGCACATATATTATGCATGATTGCCACAAAAATGTAGAATACATTAGATTTGCAAGGTTCTATTGCAAGTGAAGTTCGCTCCATCCAAAACTCATCCGTATAAAACGCATTAGAAGAACAGAATCAGGTGAAAAATATCAATCACAATGTCACACTAAGTAGTCCAATATTACCATACATTAATATTAAATCATTTTACCGTACATAGCAAGTGAAAGAACTGAAATTCCAAAAAGAATTATGAACAGGAATACAGCATAAGCTAAGAAAGATAAATATTTCTTCAACCATTAAAGAACAATTTCGCATACCTTCCATGTGCTATTTACCTCAGGGAACATGCTTGTATCAGTTCGTCCAGGTCCTTTTGCAAAAGAACGAGAACAAGAAGAGCATCAGCATGGTTACTCTAGCAAATACAAATTTGTCATTTGCAGTTGTAAAAAACATAAAACATGCGCTCAAAAACTTCATAGAAGCTAGTACATGAGCTTCATTTTTCAAGCAAAAACAAAAAGTGCTGAAGCAACAATTTTCTAAATAGGGAGAAAACCAAAATGAACATAAAAATTATAAGATTCTAATGCTCCTACAAGATGAAACCAAACAAATAATACATACAGAATTTTTTTTCATTGTGAAAACATATAGGATAAAAATATTTCCAAAGAACAAGACAGATTTGTTACAAGTCAAAGAATTACTTCCACAACTGGAAGGAGAAAACTAATAGCACAAGAGCATTAATTAGGACTTCAGAAGCTTTCTGTAGAAAAATATTTCATGGATGAAAAAACTATTTGATCAGAGTGATTTAGTATCTAAAATTTACTAAAAAAAACTTAGAATAACATGCAGAATGAAAACTCTCAAAAAACACAACCACTGAGTTACCACTTACCAACTGTAACTCCAGAAAAATCAATTACTTTTTATGTAAATATAACAAAAAGATACTTCTTACATTCCAAACAATAATTTAATTATCCCAAAATCTAAATTTACACAGAAAAAACAATGAACAAATATAAAACTTGAGTAATAATCAAGAATCACACTACAAAAAAGAATTTGCAATGCATCGAACTTGAAAATGCTTCAATCATGCTTAAATGTCAGTCACCAAACAAATTAATAGGAAGAACAAGAATAAAAATCACCGGGCGCTTCGACAGTGGAGAAGGTAGAGCAGCGGGATTTTGAGGTCGTGGAAGCAGAGGATCGGAGGGAGAGCGGGATTGAGGAGGGAGTCGAGAGTCAAAGAACAACCGAAAGCTTCGCTCGGGTGGCTATTTAACGACGCGAATGAACCTCCTCGAGCGGAGTTTGAGCAGGATTCAGGGGATACAACTCGAGCGGCGCCGAATCAGCGCAATTTCGGCAGGATATCGCGGGTCCGACGGGTAAGAGGCTTATGCGCATGATTTCTGCTTTCATTTCTTCTCAATTTTGATTCTATTGGGTATGACATGAAGGTCAACAAGGATGTATAATTTCCCTTATGCTTTTCTCTTAAAAGGATAACCAAGAGGCATAAAATGCAACAGCTTTCACTATTACAACAACAGCAGCTCTTTCTAAAGTTGGGTCCATTGTTAATATTTGTAGAAATCAATGAAAAAAATAAGTCGTCGTGACAAGCAATAAAAGTAAACAACAATGCATAAAACACAGTATTACGCTTCTTTCCTTTTAGACATTTGACATGTTTTACATTATAACATTATCCGTTCAACATATCATTTCAAGCTATACCAATAATACCTATCATCCTTAATAGTTATAGTTTTATCTCAACCAAAATGCCGCACAACAACACCTACATGTAATTCTAAGATAAAAAAATAACAAAAAGATGAAGAAATGATGCAAAGTCGAATTCCTTTAAAAAAAAATCATCCTTAATCATAAAAACCTAGTCATAGGTGAGGAACAAGTTAAAAGATATATGTCATCAAAATTCTTATATTTGGCATAATACTCTTCATGTGATCAAAACTAGCCCTTAACTTGCATGGTGTGTAAGATGACAACAAACCTACTTAAGGCATCAGAAGTTTTATTTTCAATTCCAACATAGTATTTTTAACAAAAGTGTATGTTCTTATAAATCCACCCATTTATCATATTGATGCCCTAATTTATTCTAGGAATTTAAGTATTTTAAAGAATGGCGATTTAATAAATATAGGGCAAATTCCTTGTACAACAAGTAAAGCATCCAATATTGATTGATTGCACAACAACATAGAATTCTCTGTAATAATTAGGCTAATTTGATTTTGCATCATTTAAGATCTCACTAGAACAAGCAACCGTATGTTCATCTTAGCTCAACAATCCCCCTACTCCCACGTCAGACACATAATATAAAATCACAAAAACCATGTAGAATTAGATAATAATAGTGTAGGTGCATTAGCCTCACTTGGATGTCACTGAAGGCACGTTCAACATATTGCATTCACTTAAATTCTCCCTTTTTATAGTAATTAGTAATTATTGCCATGACAGTAGTACTAAATCTTTTGATAAAGCATAGCAAAAAAGCAGACAAACAATTGAAACTCTGGATATCGTGAATATTGGTCTGCGTTGGCCAATCTCTAATTGCTATAACCTTATAAATATTGATATATAACCCATCAATAGCACAACAAATACTAAAACTATATAGACAACGTAACAAAAAAGCTCTTTTTTAGATTTAGATATTATTCTTTATATTGCTACTTTTCAAAGACCTTTCTATGATGATAAATCATCACAAAAAAGTAGTCAAACAATTGAGACTCCGAATATCGTGAATATTGGTGTATTGGCCAATCTCTAATTGCTATAACCTTGTAAAGATTGATATATAACCCATCAATCGACACAACAAATACCAAAAATATATAGACAACATAAAAAAGCACTTTTTAAGATTTAGATATATTTCTTTATATTGCTACTTTTCAAAAACTTACCTATGATGTACTAAATGTTCCTCTCTATGTTTATTGTAAATCAAAATATAACTGCTATAAATAACAAGAAATTTTCTTTTAGAGTTCGTAGATATGGTTTATAATTCTCATAAAAGTACTCAAGCCATTAATTAAACTAAAACACATCACTAATCATTATTAGAAACTATCCTTAGTCAAAAAAAATTCTTCTCCCATCCTTACTAGACAGCAACCACTCAGATCAATTTTCAAGAAAATCACAACCCATTCATCATATCTAGTATATCATCTATGCCTCGATATGGGAAATCAATAATTGATAATAATTTTCTTAACCACTCGACCACACATCCTCCAACTCACGTCCTCTTTATCTGGTCAAATTGGTTCACATCAAGGCATTTTTTTATTACAATAAATTTTTTATGCAATACACATTACATAATACTTATGCATTATATATATAGGCAAGATGGTCAAGTGGCTAAAGCTCGAGAGTTGGGCCCAAGCCTGAGTGAGAGTGAGAGAGCAATGGCAAGGAGTGAAAGGCAGGTAGCGAGAGACTCTTGGCAAGACATGGGGGTGAGAAAGGGGAGCGATCAAATGGGGAGGCGAAACATGAATCAAGAGTATGTGAGAGCCAACAACCAAAGCATCCTTAGCGATGCCACATGGAAGAGCGATGAAAGGAGTGTAGTTTAAGGCTGAAGATGAAATAGGGAAAGAAGATCTACAGCTCTGTTTCTTCTTCCTCTATAGACCTATAATATCTATTTGGATTATTTTGCTGTGTTGATTTTTCAATAATCTAATAAGATGAACATTAAAACTAATCTATCTATCAATAGAGCTAAATACAACTTCTTGTTCATCAGGTTGAGAGTGAGTAATTTTTAGAATTACATTTCTTTTTTAATTTATATCTTCCTTCATATGATATTATTTATATAGCAACTAAATTTATTATTTTTGCAAATTTTCCAATATTATATCCCTTTGTTGATCAGCTAAATAACATTGATATTGAGCCTAACATTTTTAGTTGACATAATGATGCACCCTTATGTTATGATATTAAACCTTATGATATGATATCAAATCTAATGTATGACATTTCAGGGTTTTCTAATCAAGATTTATTATAAGATGTAAGAAAAACTACAATGTGCTCCTAATTTTAACTTCTAAAAATCAACTAAAATGAAAATTTATTGAGCTTCTATAAACTTCAAGAAACTTGGGATCAAAATAGCCACACAAATGCTTTCAAGCTCATTTTTTTTGGAAATCAAATGGCATCAAATTTGATCAAAATTTCTCAAGATCAAGCATTGCACTTTTACAATAAGTAGCAGCTTAACAAAAACTTACTTTATCAAGTAATAAACTACCAAAAGTAGGAGAAATAGCACATCCAATAAGAATTTTATTCAAGAACCAAATTGATTGAGCTTAGTATATGCCTCAAAAACAAATTTATAACCACAATCGATCCCAAAACTACTATATTGGAAAAAAGATCCTTCAATTATGATCACAACCTTAATAGTGAAGCCTCATCACAACAAAAAAATGATCCTCAAGGGCACAAAAGGATTGTAAAATGTCATTGATCCTGATCCCATCATAAGTGTTGCTAGAGTACCGCAAATATCACAACAAAAGGCCATCATCCTTATAGTAAACAACTACCAACAAATAATCACAGTCATGCCGGACCAACTCCATGACCACAAAGCAAAGAAGCAACAACATAGCCATCAAAAGAACCAAAAGACGCAAAAGGGTCACAAAATCAAGCAAATAGAAAATCTATGTGGGCTCAAAAAATTTGTGCCCTGGCCTCTCCTGTTGACGGGAAGAGTTTTAATGGGTTTAGGCTCCAAGGTAAATTTTTATAAGGCATATTAGGTTTAGATAAGACACTATCAAAATATTTCGCCCTTATTTTGCGATGACTTTATGATCTAAGCTCCAGCTTTCCATAGGCGCAAGCCCTTATGATTAATTACCCCTCCCGATAACGAGAGAGAACTTTCGATTAAGCTAGTCGTTAAATAGGACGCAATAATTACCTATCGTATCATAGCAACAATTTTAGAGTTTGCATTTTGAATTGAGGGTTTTAAAGATTAGAAATTTATCACTATATACTAGGAGATGGAGAAATAATATGGACCCTTCAAGATCCCATGGTTCCGTCATTCTGGGCTATCATGGTCTCTAGTCTACATAACCAAAGGAGGTAATCGACCCAACCTGATAGAAGGAACGTTGTCGGCAACCATGTGCTGTTTCGTCCAAGAATACCTTGTAAACCTAAGGTAAATATTTGCCTAAAGTGGTGAATTTAAGTCAACCTAAGCTACCAGAGGGGTTTATATCATATTAAGTACACCATATAATTCATTAC